TGTCTAAGCTAAGGGGTCTGTAGAATTTTGGCCCGTCCCCAAACTACGGAATGTTCATTGGGACATGAATACAAATAGCTCACAGGGTTGATCGTTCCCCAAAGTGAACATATAACCCCTCCAACCAGTACATTTCTTTCTTTTTTTTTTCCAAGTTGTAAATATGTATTTATTTTCACACACAAGATCATCTATGTATAGAAAATCCCAAAAGGTGGTAGCATTAAGTGAATTAAAAATGTTGTAAAATCCAAGGTCAATATACAAAAACAATTCTATTTTTATAAATGGCCAATGGATAATTGAAAAATAAAATTAAAATAACAAACCCATTTATAATGCCGTAATAGTTAATTAAAAAATAATCAAAAAATATTGAGAAAGTTCAAGTTTAAAAAACTATACTGCCTGATTTTAAGACTTATAAAAACTTATGCTATTAGCATAGATGCAGACAAAAATGAGTGGCTCTGGAGAACTTACAGATTGACTGTTGTATCAACTCAGTACATTTCTAAGTAAGGTATGCTGAGCACTAAGTCTGTACCAGGTACTGTGCTAAGAACTTTTTAGATGTTGTAATACATTTAACCTTTACAATGAATGTTTGTGGTGCTAAATTCTTTTTTTTTTTTAAGATTTATTTATCGATTCATACAAGAACTGGGGTACAGAGGCATGGGGGTGAGAGGATTCACCACAGGCAGAGCGGGGAACAGAACAGGCAGATTGACTGAAATACACTGCTAAGGGGAGCAGCGGGCGAATCAGGAGAGGTCTCCTGCACCATGTGGGTTGCTCCCTGGCCGGCCGGGGATCAAACTTGTGCTGCAGAGGCTGCGGACAGCTTCACAGGCTGCACCTTAACCCCTTGTGTATGGTGCAAAATTCTATTAGGACCCCCTAATTTTAAAGATGAGGAAAGTGGCTCAGCATGTCTAAGGCCACACAACTAGGGAAGTAGGTGGATTGAACTCAAAACCATGCACCCCTACAAGACAGAACCATGCTCTCCTGCTCCCCCCCACCCCAAAAGAGGATGTGTAAAATAAATATTTATTTGTATGTCTGATCCTTAATAATGTCCTGTGGCTCCAAATGCAATCAGTGAGTTGCTATTTATCATCCTGGAATTACTTTCCTGTTGCGACCCTTCCTCCCAGCTCCCCAGATAAGTCTTCACCTCTTTTCAACCTCTAGATGTCATCGAAATTTCTAGTGAAGGATGTGGAGGTTGTGTGCCATCTCCAGTTATTTCACAGCTTTCTTTTTTCTTCCCAAGAAGATGAACATTCCTGTGGGGACAGACTAGAATCCTTTCTTTGTACTTAGAGCAAGCCAATCAATAGCTCTCCCCACAGACTTCACTGCATGGCCAACAGTGCATTAATGGCATTGCTATTTGGCAGCTCAAAAGAAGGGCTCACATGAAGATAAATTTATTGTCCTCCTCTCCCTTCAGTGACTCTTACCTCACTGTTTCCTGTTAGAAGGCTTCGGAAGCCCTTTGTACCATCAAACAGCACCATGTCCTGTGGCAGTGTTACATTATTGATAGATACTCCTGCCTTTTTTAATCTCATTTACGGCAATTCTTATGTGGCTCATTTGTCTTGTATCAATATGTTCAACCTGGTGGCTGAAGCTTACTTTTTTTTCTTCTTCAGGAGGTGGGAGTTTTCATTATTGAAATAAAACAGGTCATAGAACTGTCACCCACGAATTAGAAAACAACGAACTGTTGCTTTCTTCCTGTGGTTTTAATGTAATTGACAGAATTACAGAATTTAATGTAATTGACAGAATTGGTTTGCTTAGTTGGCTCGAACACCATTCTAATGGGCCAAAGGCCCACGTTCCGTGTCAGCTATTCTCCTGGGCCCAGATGCCCAGTCTCCTTGTAAACTGCATGTTGCTCACAGGGAGATGAGACACAAGGACAGTCTAAGCACACACCTCACAGACATCACATGTGGGTAAAAAGGACCACGTGCTATTGCTTTTAGTTAATAGTGTCAAACATCTTGCTTATCAGAGGTACTTGGGGGGAGAACGGTAATTTCAAATAAAAATACCATCACACTTAGCTCCACTTAGTATTCTACCACTAACAATGCTCGCAGCTTGGATTTCCCTTCCAAACACCTCTATCTACCTTTTGGTGTTTCTTGAACAAAGATGAACTTGTGGTGTCTCTTCATAGAACACTCAAGAAGTGAGGATTTGCAAGTTTCCAAAGTCAAGACTTCCCACCAGGTCAGTTCATGTGGTGCAGTCCACGCTGCCTTGAAAGAATCAAAGTGCAGGCCCTGTGTCTGTGAGGGACCAATACTATTACTAAAGCACTTACAATACCTGAGGGCCGATTTCAGATACTGGTTTCTTTGCATTCACTTAATTTTAATTTTTTTCTCCCCTTGGTTTTCTGGAAGCAATTGTTTAAAATTTTAAAAGGAACCCAGTACAGTAGTGAATGAGATAGTTTAGAAAATAAGAGGGTTTGTGGGCAGGTGGTAACAACTTACTGTCAGTAACCAAAGGATTTTGTGTAAACACACCCTCACTTTCTGGTCCTGAGTTTCTCAGTTCTCCCAGCAGGTGTCACTATAATCACAGAACAAACATTCCACAGCGTAGTAACTTTATTTTTCTAACATAATAATTTAAAGTATTTACACACTGCACACTCACTGTTTTACACAGATACTTATTCATATACCTGTGAACCACATCTATAGGTTTCTTTGCAACGACTTGACACATTGGGGTTGGGTTTGTGGTTCCAAGCATGACAAAGTGGACAAAACCCCCACCCCCAAAAAAACTATTTTGAGTCTTTTAAAGACAGCCATGTGGAGCATCTGTGAAAACGAGGGTTTCCCCCAAGTTTGAAGAACCCCCAGGAGCTCTTTGGACAGCTATAGTCTGTCCAAAGACTACAGGATGGCCTGAAACACTTCAGACTAAGGATTTCTAGAAGCAGTGTTCAAGAAGCATTTTCTCTACAAGTCCTAGAAAAAGAACAGAACGTAAGCTTGGCCCTTCTGAGAAAAATAGCTGTAATTCTGAAAGTCATCTGTGAGGACTGTAAATGTTGTACGTGGCCAGTGATTATAAAGGTAGACTAGCTAAATACACTTGTTCTATTCATGGTGTAGGATGCTTTTAAGCATCCTTTCCAGCTAAATAATACGGCAAAACAACCCAATTCTTTCCCCAACTATTAGTAGAGGTGATTGTTTACCCTGAAAAGGACAAAGATTAATCATACACAATCTAAACTCAGATACTGCAGACATTTCTACTATCATTTTTACCTTACTTTTATACTATTTCCACAAAAACAGTCATTATAAGTATCCTATTTTTCTTCCTTCACAATTGTAAAATTCACTATCTAATTATAGCTCCTGAACCTGGCACATAGTTCCATTAGGTAAACAGTTCAGAGCTGATGGTAGCCCAGTTTCTAAAAAAGGAAGACAGGTTTAGGTTTCAACTCTTTTGGTGTTGAATCTTTATTGAGTAAAAAGACAGATGCCTTTATTGTTTTTCCATACTACTCAGATTATCCTCATATACAGAAAATGTGGAGACTTGCCAAGTTGAGATGAACTTACAACTCCATCCTATGACTAGATGACATACTAGTTCACTAAGAAACAGAAATTCACAAAATGACACCTTCTTTTTCACTCTGGCAGTGCCATTAACCAATGGGAAAAAAGAAATTTGGGGCAAAAGGAAATTTGCCCAACTAAAACAAAGCACAAATTTGACTTAAGTTACTATATTTAAAGTTCATTATTTTTGTTTGCATTTATGGAAACTTCAGGTAAAGTACAAATTCTATCACTTCTTGGAACCAAACATTCACACTTATCTAAACAATACAAACCTACCAATCCTGGAGTTAATTTTCTTAGTGACTGTTCTTGACTTGTTGGTGGTGTTTTCATTTTACAGGGGGATGATAACAATGGAATGGATGTGATTAGCAGATATTTTACTTTATAGGGATTTCACCAAGACATTGAGCAACTAAGTAATAGCCACCTGCAGATGTACAGAGGGAGAGTATCTGAGTGTTCCTGGGCAGCACACTGCTGAATGAGAATCTCTGGACTAACAGGCACCAAGTTAGCTGCAGAGACTCAGGTGACAAATCTTTCCAATCACAGATACCTCATCCCCTCCAGCACATATACAGAAACATGGAAGATGTGAAAACCATGGTATGAAGTGCAAGGAATAATGCAAACTTTTGTGAGGGGATCTGAGCCTTTATGTTAAAAAAAAAAAAAAATCCAATAAACCCCAGTTCCTAGGTTCCTACAGAAAGGATGGGGGCTTATGCGGGTGGAGGTGGGGAGCAGCATGTTTCTGTTTAGTGTTTCCAAACTACCAAGGAAAAATAGATTAAGAACATGGATGGCACAAATTATAGAGAGGCATGATTACTAAATTTGTTTTGTTGTTCAATGCAGAATAGAGCTCAGAGAGGAAAAACTATGATTTAAACAGGGACATGGATAGAAAGTCTGAGAGCTACTGGGGTCTAGCAAAACGCCTAGTGTTTATCCATAAAATTGCCATCACTAGCCCCTTTTGACCTATAAAAACAGCAGTTCCATACAGTTCAACCTAACCTATCGTAAGTGCTCAAATATAACAATCCTAGTTAATAGGAATTGTGGTACTATCTCTGCACCCTCTGAAAGGTGACAGCTGTTAAAGAGGCAGCGGATTTCCTGTTTTCAGTGTTTAACAGAGTCAAATGCACCTGTATGGGGAGTTAACTAGTCCTTCAAATCCAGTGAGGGCAGAAGAAAGGTAAGGACCTAGTTCACAGGAACAAGGCAGGTCTTCCAGGAAGGGGCAAATCAGTAGCCACAGGAAAGGGCGGGAGGGAACAGTAAGAATAGCTCCAAACAACATCACCGCTCATCTTCGACGGGAACACTGCAGATGGTGTCTGTGTATATGTACTGTACATACTAACCAGGTACACACATAAATATTTAATATATAAAAAATAAAGTGCTTTCTAACAGGTCCCCAGGCAGGGACATTATAAAACATTTCACAAAACTGCAAAACAAAATCGATACAATCAAAGAACGCTACATCCAACGTAGGTGAAAACAGTCAAACACATTATGTACAATATGGGGGGTGTCCCAGGACAAACATCCCGTCATATACATGGTATATACATATATATAATCTTTTACTCAATATATTATGACAATATATACTTTAAAATTTGTTATAGACAAAAAAAATAAACAGAACAAAAGACAACCCCTACAAAAACACAAGGAGCATCAAGCACGTGAGTCCTAGACCGACAGACAAATGGCCGCCTCCCTTGGGGGTCCCATGGCCACTGCTAGGGAAAATGTGCCAGCGTTCCTTCCTTGGGTGCAGTGCCTCCACATCTTCCAAGGCACTGTGGGCTGCGGCGGTGAAGTTGGCATCACCAGTGGTGAGCAGGTCAAAGACACAGGACTGGAAGTAGATGTCCTTCACTGGCATCTTCTCATGGCACTGAGCATTGGCAGTCTCCAGTGTGTAACCGGGCCAGGTCCACGCCAAGGACATGCGAGGCAGGGTGTGCCCCAGGATGGCCGACACCTGACCCTGGCCGTCATCAATGCGCTCACTCAGGGGGCAGCCGTTCACACACAGCTGCAGGTCCTGGCTTTCCTCGTAGGACATGGCCAGGTCTTCTGGCATACGGATGGCGAGGGTCAGGTAGCGGCCCAGCTGCCGCACGAACACCGTGGTCCCTATGTAGCGGGCGTGCATCTCCACGTAGCGGCCACTCTCCCTCTCCACGATGCGCAGGCTCTTGGCATCACCGTCCCCACCGCTGGTGCTGCCATCCACAAAGGCGGCCGGCAGGTCATCTGTCACAGCTTGGTATACTTTCTGATCCGTACACTCCCGATGGGCTTTGAAGATGATGGTGATCTGTGGGGAGGAACGTGCACAAAGTTTAAGGTAAGGGAACAGCCCTCTATTGCAAACGCTCTCTTGCATGCTGGAGTTCAACGGCTAGAGATGGACTCAAACTCAGGCCAAAGACTTTGCCTCATAAATGTTATTGTTAGGGAGAAAAATATATCCCAAGTATTCAGAGTGAAAAATTGACACAAATGCCAGAAAACATGTATCAAGAAAACAATTTACTTTCCTGAGACGGAACAGTGTTGCTGCTGGGACAAAGGCAATTTTTATTGGTAATTTATATCTGTTTCCTCCCAAAAATAGATAAGCCATGGGCATAGCTCTGAGGAAAAAAAAGCCCTTTCTAAATTATGCAGAACTTTATGGGCCTTAATAAGCAACACACCTATGAAACTTAAACTTCTAAACACAAGAGACAAAGCAGAGTGTGTGTGGATGGGGGTGGGGGGGTGCATCCCAGCAACAGCTACCCATCACGTGCCTCAGGAAAGATTTCTCTAAGTCTCTTAATCAAATGTTTCACATGACTGGGTAATCCCTGTGACAGGGAAATCACTCGGCAAATACAGTTCCCTAGCACTGGAGGAGAATAAATACACTAAACCTAGTTACAGCAAATCTTGCTGAATACATCTGTGACCCTTTAACTCCTCAGAAAAACACTTCCTCAGCCGATTCTCAATTTTTCAAATTGAACAGATAATTCATAGAGAAAAAAACCTATAATACAAAAGTTTCCCTTTAGAGAACCTAATTTCCCCCCTTAATTATAAGAACTAGTGAAAAAAAACACCACCTCGTGCACCTTCACCTCCAACATAATTTCTCTGGTGCAGGTGGTAGAAGAGGAGACATGGCCTTCTGGGTCACACAAGGTGGGAAAACTGTCTGGGGAAGAGGGGAGACCATATTTTGAGATTTGTATTATTGTCAGTAACTGGGGTAACAGCTTATTTTTACTTCTTGAAGGGAAAAAAAAGTATCAGGTGACTTCGGTCAAGGAGGAAGGTAGTGGGCCAAACACTCTACAAATTACTCTGGATGGAGGAAACCTTCCACCTCCTGCAAGGGAACTAATCAAAACAATAGACCCTTGTTAAAAAGGCCAGAAAATGCCCTGCCTGCCCCTCCTCCCTACCCCTCGTTCTACAAGTCCCCACCACCACCCTCAAAAGTTTATGTCTGAAGTTTTTTTTCCCTAACTCAGCCAGCATTTGCTCACACTATTTAATTCCACATGTTCCCACTGGTGTTACTTGACTGGAATTTTCCAGCCATTTCATTTTACTTCAGCCAGTTATAAAGCCAGATCTGAACCAGCTGCACTGTAGCAACTGGTTAAATTCATATCCGTTGTTTGCAGCTGCAACTAAAAGCCAGACAATGTACTATGAAAATGCTTGGTTTTTTCCCTTCCTAATTACCCCGAGCCACAATTTAATTTCACTACCAGCCTTCTCACGTTTCAACACCTTCTTAACAACTCAAAGGAGGTGTACCAGAGATGATTTCAGGAAATTTGTTGTGCATCCAACCAGAGGGCCTTCCAGAATGAATGGGATATTAAGCTAGATATCTAATGGGACTGTAAAATAGATTTATTTGGTGGCTCACAAGTCACTTTGACAAGTGCTTTATTAAGGCAAGCTAGAATCCCTTGCAGGTGAAAAGAAGAATTCAAGTAAATTCTGCACTTGAAAGAGCTGGAAGTTAATACAGATGGCAAAAACAGTCATGAACATATAACCACCATCCTCACTTTAAACTAGAACATGCACACTCAAATATTCAACAAATAGTCTCCCAACAACTAAGTAATCTCTTTTTCTAGTTTAACAAGCCTCAAATTTAAACCAAATTGTCACTATTTGCAAAGAATTGGGTACTTTTTTGTTCATCTTTGGAAAAACAAAGTTTGTGTTGGAACAAATCAGAGATCTAATTTCAAATGTTTCCAAAAAGGCAGGCAAAGGTCAGTATTAGGATGAGTGGACTGGTTCCACATGTCTTACCAAGTCTCTTTTGCTTTCTGTAAGTACACCAGTTCCAAGTCAGTGGTTATTTCACACATTTCAAACACTTCACACGCATATATTTACGCCTGTGACAAGAATACTAACTCCCACACCTCCGGAACAGCAAGTAAAAATCCAAAGCCTAACCTCTGCACCAGCACACACACTTAAAAAAATAATCCAGTTTACCTAACAGACCTTTGTCCCTTTTATTTCCTTGGAGTGATTTTTTTATGAGACAATGTAGTGCGATACTTCTTGTTTCTCCTTTGAGTGGAGTTATTCTCACAGAGCTTAGGTACAGCCCTTGAGTCAAAATGCTGAGGGTGATGAATTGATTACCAAGGATGAGAGGCGTTTCCTGAGTGGTCCTCTGTAGTTTTAAGTATGTACTGAAGAGGCATCTAGAGATATAATCAATGTAAATGTAGAAAACACTAGGCAACAGTTTCACATGACTTAAGTCTGTAAAGTAATTTCATTCCTCATACCAAGTACAGCACCAGCTCTGAAAAAGCCAGCACTCAGCCATGAAGGGCCAAAAATGCATTTTTATATCCAGCTCCTTCAAAAAACCAAATTTGTTCGTTCTTACTAATTCTTACTTTAAAAACATTCAAAATGCAGTTGGAATGCTTGGAAATTCATTTTATATCAACCAGTAGCTATCAGAGTGTGGAAAAATAGGATATTCAAAATTGTATTTTAAGTCTCTCAAATAGATAATTAAAAAACACCAGTTATATTGCTTACTTCTCCCCCCAATGATTTGCTCCATATGCTATAATAACTCAATTTGGCACATCTGTTCTATGCCACACCATTTATTATTGATGGATGGCATTTCTGTGCATTTAAAACATCAATGCCTTTTGTTAAACCTCCCCCACCCAATCCCTCTCAACCCCCACTCAGACAAACTGCTCCAGTTCTCCTCATTCATTTTTAATGTTTCTCTCCCTGAGATCTTTACCACCCACAAGGTCTATTAGGAGGGGAAAGATAGCAGCTACAAATCAACCTTTCCACACGTGAAAGGCAATAAAGATTTAAAGTTTGCTGTGAAATGTCAGAATGTAGAGGTACTTGCCTCTCCTTTCTACCAGGAAAGAAAATACATTAAAAGAAAATGAGGTGGCCAACAAAGAGGAAAGGCTGGGCACGGCCTGGTCAACACACAGATCTTCCTAGGGCTGAACAGCCACGCCAAGTGCTGCTCAGAGGTTTGCAAACAGCAGAATTCCCCAAAGGCGCACTTAACTATTTGTGCTTATTGTATTTTGGAAGAAACTTTTATCGGTGTTTAATCAGGCCATTTGCACTGTGAGTACAGAACCTTACTGGAATTCTCATATATCGGGACTGGGCATTTACATTAAGGAACACACATCTCTTGTGTGTTAAGATGGACCAACAAAATAAACCGAAACACAGAAATTAGCTTTGAACAGGAGGAACACCATTTTGGTTGGTGCCTTGTTAAAATTCTGCTGAGTTAGAGGAGGCTAAAATGAATTGGCTCTCTCTCCAGCTCTAAAACACCTAAACTTGACTTCTGAAGATCAGTTTTCCTAATGTTGAGAAGTCAGAGCCTACAAAGCATGGATACACCGACAGAAGAGAGGTTTTTGAAGGCACTTTTCCTGGCCCTAACACCCTTAACCAGCAGGGTAACCTGGAAGGGTAGATCTTGACCAAGGCAGGCTCTCTCCATGCAAGCTGAGAAGTGAAAGTGCTGCAGTTAATTAAGCACTGGGGGAGAACTGAGTCTTCCCTCCCTTTTTTGTGGAGCAGGGAAAATTAGCACATTCATCTAGAACGTTCTTTTCTTTTTGTACACTTTAAAACGACAGGTTTATTAGGAAAAAAGAGGCATCGTCACCGTCACAGGTGGACAGCAGAGCTGCTCATCTCGAACTTTCTGTGAACAATTTCATGTAAAACTCTGGAGAGTATCTGTATGTACCATATTTAAGAGAAAATGCTGGTGTGAGAAGTAACTGATGTAATTGTAACTTTCCTGAAAAATTAAGGAAAAAAATTGCTAGGAAGGTGTGAACTCAATGAATTGGAATGTAATTTTACAATCACTACTCAGCTTGCATATCAAATATCTACCTCCAGGAAGGCTCAACTTAACACACACACAAATATATTTTGTTAAATAATTTTAGTGAACTAGTACAGATATTAATATGTAAGGAAGATAGTCTGTGGCTTTTTTTTTGTAAAGACTTATTTATATATGCATAAAAGAACTGGGGCCCAGGCCAGAGGTGTGGGGGATAAGAGGATTCACCAAAGACAAAGTGGGGAACAGAACATGCAGATTGACTGAAACACACTGCTGAGGGGAGTAGCGTGTGAGACAGGAGAGGCCTGCTGTGCCATGTGGGTCACCTTCCTGGCCCGGGATTGAACTCAGAACTCATGCCACAGTGGCTGGCCACAGCTTGACAGCACTCAGACTTTAACCCCTGCGCCACCAGGGAGGCCCAAGGAAGACAGTCTGTGTTTTAAAGAGGAGGGCAGCAGATTAAAAATCTTATCATAGACTCCTTAGCTATTGAATAAAACTGTTTAAGATTCTACCACATTCAAAAGAGTTATTAAAATAGGTCTCTCTCTATTCTCAGTCTCTTTCCACACAGCCCTGTTCTACGGGCACTTACCGAATTCCAAAGCAATGAAATGGATCAAATTATTTGTTCTTCACTGCTGTCCTAAGTAACATGAAGGAACGGCTGCCTTGGCTTAGAAGGTACTTGGCAGCAGATGGAGAAAGAAAAAACCAACGCAGAGGAAGAGGACAGCCACAGCTGAGGATGTGTAAGGTCGTCCTCCCAGGGGAGAAGCATTAAGTTCAGTGGCTGGAAAGAGCATGAAAGCAAAGGGAAGCAGGACTAGAGAAGACACATAAAAGGCACAGGCATGAAAATGTCCACTCCCAAAGAGTAATTTTTGTACACTTAAAACAAAGAAGACTAA